TTTGTTTGTTTGTTGTTGTTGTTGTTGTTGTTGTTTTCAGCTTTTGATCTGGTGGAGGAAATGAGCCCAACACTGTTGAGAATTTAGATAATTTAATAAGATATACAGTATAAGCATATCAGAACGTCTAGAAACAAGAGGTACACAAACTATAAAGCTTTGATCTCCTTGTCAGGACATGAATGAAAACACACTTTGAATACAGATAATAATAAGATATTTAAGTGTACAAAAAGCGTCCACTACACGCAGCAGCCTGTGTGACTGTTTTTTATTTTGCTGTTCAACTTACAACCTCTTGGGGGAGACATTGACCAGGCATACAGACACCTTGCAGTATTAAAGAAACATATCTGGCTCTACGTGGTTCTACATGACCGGTGACATTTACCATAGTGCAGCACACCAATTAAGCGAGTACCCTCTTATTTCCCACTCGTAGAAAATTGGAGCCTAAATGTCAAATTAATTTTCCTCACCACAGCTACTGTCTTTCTCCCCATGAGATCATAATAGGAGATAATTTCTCACTAGCAAACAATGTACTGTATGCCCATTGTTCCCACCCTGGGGTTTTGGGGCCCAAGAGTGTTCCTTTAGAAGTGTCAGGAGGTCCCACCATCCAACACAACCACAAATTCTTCTAACTTATCAATGAATTTTACTCCTGCAAAACAAAAAAGGACTAAGCCTGGAGTTTTTACTTTATGTATTTCATCATACACGTGTGCAGCTATTGCACACCTGGCATTAAAACATGCAAGGAGACACCTACATTTTTTCAAGTTCAGAAAAACAGCAGTAGCAAGTTTGTGTAATGACAGAGAAAAACACACATTTTATAAAACCCACAAATTTATAATGGATTATAACAGTAGAACCGAGAGCACTGGATAAGTAGTCAATATCACTGTGAGCCATCCTGTCATTTTGAAATGCTGAATTAATTTCAGTCATTACTGACAGTGAACCTTTCATTTAGAATTACAACTATAGTTGAAAGGTTTCTCTTTAACAGCTTTAAAAGAATAAAGATCATCACTTAACATGAAAAGCAATGCCACACTTTAAAAGGATATCTTCAGGTTTACTAAATGAAACAACCACTTCTTTCTTTCATTCTAATGGATGGATCCTTCTTGCACATTTCTCTTGTGCCAAATTAAATGCATTTGAGGTCATGTGACACATGAAGTCAATCAAACACTGATCAGTTTATTGCTGTAATCAGCAGAGCTGCAACTTCTGTGAGCATGCGTGCATCATGTATGTGCAAATGTGTGGTGCAAATACAAATGTGCGTGTTAATGTGTAAATGCTGTGTAAATGCAGCTATGGATTTATGGTTTTGCAGAGGGAAGAGAACCAGAAAGAGAGCTTTTACAGCCTTAAAGCACTTTACGTGGAGAAAATGAAGCGTATAACAACACAGGAAAGAGGAATGGATCCCTACTTGTGTACCCAAGGCCCTCCTCCTTCCCTATCTTAGGTCTAGCTGGGCCAGACATATTTCACCCATGTGACACCAACTCATTCAATCTGGAAGACTCACCTTTCTGTCAAACATGTGCTTTCACTGAAAAGTTCTTGTGCGCGAGACAGAGAAAAAAAAAGACTTTTAGATGGTGCTTAAATGGTATTAAAAAAACACATACATGCAGTCACTTGACTTCAACACGCACATATAAAGCCACTTGAGCGCCGCAAATGTATGTACACTCACAGCTGCAGAGGCTCTTGTCCTAACAAGCAGCCGGCCTCCTCTGCTAAGTGACAGACAGGATATTGGGTGCACTTTCATCAGTCCAAGGCTTTGATTCGTCTGCCATCCGTCCTGTTTATTTTCTGCTTTGCCTCTTCACTCAGCCGTGCTTTTGAAATATTTCCCCCACGATGAAGCCTGTCATTCCATTTACACTGAAGGATCGAGAGAGTCGGGAGGGGAAGGGGGAAAAAAAGCACTCGCTTTTGCACTAGCTCCTCCACCTACCTTATTCATCTGCCATCCATCCATCTGTTAATCCTTCCCACCTTCATCCTTCCCTCCCCCTGTCAAAATGCTTCATGATTTATCCCCCACCACTTCTCCATACTCTTCCCCTTTTCTTTTTGCAGTATCCACAAGTTCTGTGGTTGTTGCGGGGGTTTTTTCTTTTCTTTTTATTTTGTGGTTGGGCGGTATAGTATGAGTCACAGATTCCTGGACAAGAATTCATGAGGTAACATCTGGTTCTAAATGCTAGAGGCAGCTCTTATCCCCTACCTGGCTGCAGCCCAACAGTGTATCCTGGCCTGAATGTGTTGTGTCTTACCCACCTGCCTGGGCAACACATCTTTTGATACCTTCACTACCTACTATGCCTGTGTTAGAGGGAGACACCTGGGTAACCACAAAGCATTATTTCCAACATAGGGATAGGGGTTTAGCTCTTCCCATTGTGTGTAAAAGCACTGTAAATCCCAGCAAAGCTATGATGGAGTAATATGGCAGTCAAGCAAAAACAATACAAACAGCACTCTGTGCTGATAGACTTAACTTCTTACTAGGAAAGCAAAGAATTAGAGATCTCTAAATCTTTAGATCAGTATCTTTCATGTCCTTTTGATGAATACAGGTAAGTCTAAATTTAGTCACTGCAGGAGATTTAAATGATTCTGAAGTGAATCAGCAAAGCTGATTAGATGTGGAAAAAAAGTGCAAAGTAGCTCAGAGACAATGTAGAGGGCAATTACCTAATGAAACCTGACAGGCATTTTAGATCAAATAGAGTCTGCAGAGGAGGAACCCATGATGATGCTGCACTTTCTTGTCACAGTGCTTAGTTTGTCTTCTGGCACACTGCTCAGCTCCCTGAAGGGCAGCTACACATACACCCACAGAGTCAGTCTATTGATCAAGTTTCCCTCCCCTGGCAAGTCATATAGATCAAACACTATTGCTAATCCATGAATCACATTGCAGGGGAAACCTAAGAGCAGCTTATGGAAATGAGGATCCTCTTTGACATTGAGTTCCTGTACATCAAAAAGTCCGTAATCAGGAGGTACAACAGTGTTTGCTGGTGCCGTTGGCTGAAAATAGTATTAGTGTTTACATAAAGGCATTACTCATAATATCCACTACAGGCCTGTGTCTTGTTCTTTAGTAATCATTTTATTATGGTGGGATTCAATATGTCAAACAGAGGGAAGATGGCGATGGAGTAGCCAATTTCACATCAAAATGGTGTCATTACCGATCGAGCAACTGAAGTATAGCCGACAGACACCGAATACAAAATCAGCTCTATGGCAGTGACTCAATCACCGGGAGTCAGACAGGTTTTGATCTTGCCGTTCATCTCCAATGGCGTCCGCGTACGCAGTGGACTAATTTCCTAATGGACTCTGGTGAGCGCCTGCCAAAGAGCACACTGGGAATGAATGAATGGTATCCATTAGACAAAATGGCCTTCTGTAAATTGTGGCCACTCTGCATAAATGAGCGGGAGCTGGGCGGGAGCAGGAGCAGATGGATGGAGAGGTCCCGCAACAAACTAATGGAAGCAGACCTGCGATCATTCACTGCTGCCCTGCTGTCAGCATGGTCAGTGAACAGTTTACAGCTGGTTTTAAACATAATGACTTGCAGAAACTTAGACTGCCTTGCATGTCGCTTTTTCAAGTTGGCGTTTACTGACCCTACTTTGAGAGAATTTGTCAACTAAGGTCCATATCACCTTGGTACTAATGTCTATCAAGTTTGTGTGGAGACGTCACAGATAAAATCCGCCCTAAGTAGTCAATACAGTAGGTATGTGTGACATGACTTATTTGACATGAGGAAGTAGGGGGATTTTATCTGGCTGGCTATCTATGAGGTGGATAGACAGTCTACATGGTGTTCCTCACTGACACTCTTTTCTCTTGTCCCCACTTAGCCTTATCTCAGATAAGACAGATGATAATGGTGGTGGAAAACCTCAAGGAGCACAAGGTTATCATTTATATTTAGAATTAGAATTAGAATTAGCTCACGGGTACGTCACTGCAACCCCCTCTGGCTTCTGCTCCACGGCTGCTGAGTGACCCCTCGTCTGGGGCTCTCCTCAGCTCTTTCCAGGAGGGTTGCACGGTTGCCCCTCCGTTGGTCTTCTTTGGACTCTTGTGCTCTTGGGGTCTCTGGATGTCTGGAGCCTGGATCTCCTCCATACCTGCTTCATGCCATGGGGGACGGGGCTATGGCTCCCCACACCCTCTAGCAGATCATTACACGAAGGAACCTTTTGAATACAAGCGCGCTCATGCTGACAGGTGTACACACAGGTGCTCACAGACACAAACTACACCTTTCTCAGCTGCGACCTCAAAGCACACTGTGCGCTGTCGATCTTACGTGCTGCACAATAATATTCAATATTTAGTATTTACTGTTATATACACTTAGATTATCGCGATGATGTTGTTTATTATATTGCTCTTTTTTTCTACTTGTTTTCTCTTTTTTTCTCAACAGGT